ATGTTCAAAATGTGCCGGAGACCCCTCGAAAGAATACCAAGAGAAAAACTTCTGTTGATGATGGTGGCATTGACATTGTGACGCCTCCACGGGTTTCACCTGAGCCCGAAAAAGGAAGAGCTGAGCCAACCCGGGTGAGCGAAACAAGATGGGTTCCTTTTGGCAAACCACAGCCGAAGTCCTCTACCCTACGTGCTCCTGGGACAGGCAAGATGCAGGCATGTTTGGAGCCCAATGTCCCTGACCTTGAAGATGCGTTTCATCAAGTGCAACAGAAAGTTCCAGAGAATAGGGATTGTCAGGATTGTCTACAAGTGGATTTTGGAGATGATGTTGAGGATGATTTTGGGGAGGTACATGAACCCATGGGGGCCCGATCTACGGTCCGCAAAAAACATTTCACCCGAACTTGCAAGAGCAAGATTGTGACCAAGAAGGAACTGACAGATCAAGCTTTCAAAGAACTCTTGGGACAGCGCAAAGTGTCTTACCATGCATTTCTGGCCTTCCATCGTCAACATGCAAAGGTCAAGGAAGCGGCAGTGCGTCCAAAAGGTGGCTGTGCTTTTTTGACCCAGACGTTGCGATCGAACACTTGGCCAGAATGCGACCTGTGCCGATCATTTCTGGACTCTTGCAATCTCAGCCAGGACAAAGTCCAAGAGGCACATGCAGGATTTGCCCAGGCTGACTTGCTTGCATCCCATGGTGCGCCCAAAGCAGATCCTGCGGATGATTTGCTAAAGGGAAATCTCTTCATTGGGAACATGGCCTCTCATCACTAGGAGCTCTCATGGACTCATTTTTGAAGATCAGAGTTAATTCTTTAACATTCATAATCATTAAATTTAATTCCAAATAATTTCAATGACATTCATTGTCTGAGAGGTTGGCATGTGGGCCAGTCCAATTGCAGCGTTTTGCTCAGAGCTGCGCGAGTGTGGACAGTGTGGACCCTTTGCTGTGCTGATGGGCCAGCATAGGAAGAAAAAAAGAAGGGCGACCTTGCCTGAGTACCTTGGATTTGACTGGAATCATGACCTATACTATTATCATACTATAAAGTTTATTGATTATATTATAATATGCTCATGAATATTTATTGAATATTGAAACATTACATTGTGTATGATGGTGGATTCTTTCACTTTAGCCAGTAACTTTTGCAGCCTTTGCCAAGGCACATGCAGCCTGGCTATTACCCTACTTGGGGCCCTGGACAGTGCCTGTGGCTGCATTTGAATTTGAAGCTGAGCCATTTGAAGCTGAGCCATTGGACAATCATTGGCATCATCATTTGTTTGCTGCTGCAAAGGATGGCTCCTACTGGTCCTGGACCATTTTGGTCCCCTCCTAGTGGTGGTGGTGGGTCAGCAGCTTCTACTGGTGGTGCTGGGTCTGTAAGAAGCCTGGCTGACATATCCACCTATGATGAGGGCAGGGAGGACGGCAGTTTCTTGGCTGGTGGTGTTGGAGGTTTGCATTGGGAAGTTGGTAGGTTGGTTATGCTATGAGTCACCTTCCTCACATGGGTATGGATCAATACCTATTAATACAAGTTTTAGGGGGATGAACATCCATTTACCAGCTATTTTGATGTTCACCAGGGGTACAAGGTTTTGACACACTGCCACATCACTTCACTGCTCAGGCTACTCCAGATCTTCTTCACCTTCGATGCTTGGCTGAATGGTGCAGGTGGCAATGCATCAGGCTAGTTTGGCAACCCCATCCAACTTCTTTGGAACCAGTGAGGTTGACATTGCACTTGGATTTGTGTTGGTAAGTCTGGGTGCATTGCAATGACATTGGCATTGCATTGAGATTGTATGCATGAACTCAACATTCCACTTCCTTTTGTTGTAGCCCTGTATGCATCATGCAATGGGAATGCATTGCTGGTGAAACTGATTGCTGCCATCCATTTGTCCAACTTGCTTTCCATAATGGCCCACTTGCTTAGGTCAAGCTCCAGTGACAAGAAGAAGAAGAAGAAACACAAGAAGGACAAGAAGGACAAGAAAGAAAAGCAACCACCAAAACGATCCTAGCCATGAGTTATTCTGTGGGGGTGTGGTTGTTGGATGGGTTTCTGGACTTGGGGTTTGGCTGGTAAGTGGATGTTGCTTCCAAGATATTTGGGTGATGTGAGGCTTGCACGCAGGTGCAACTAACTAGTTAGGTTATGCCATGCTATGGCTGAGACTATACAAATTTGCCACTGAGGCAAGCTGGGTGAGTCATCAGATGCAGAAAGAACCTGGGGCTGCATTTATGGTGGGCCATGTGGGCCAACACCTATGACATACTGTGGATGGAGGAAGCCCTGCACCAGTTAGTAGATGGTTTATCCCATTGTAACCCCATCATTATTTACAGTGTTTTATAGTTCCCAATAGTTACCAATTGGTGCAGGATTCCTTCCATCCACAGTATCATGGCATGATGTGATACACCTATGACTCTATGACATATCATAACATGATGTGATTTGAGATAATTCTGGGCAATGTGCCATCATTGCTTGACATGGCATTGAGCCCAGTGTAGTGGCCCAACTTCTGAGCATTGAGGCGAGGAGCTGGACAAGAGGGATGTGCCAAAGTGCCAGCTGGCAAAAACTGCAGGGAAATCTGGTGGCACAAACACCTTCCCCAGGAGCATGTGTGCAGCTGTGTTTCAACTTCACATTGCATATATATATATATATATATAAACTCCAGTGTTTGCAGCTATGGCTCATTAACTCACATTGGAGATCTATCATATTATGTTTCAAATGTTGTTTCTGGTTGAGAACACTTCAGCTGCTGGCAGGAGGGATTTGCTGAGGTACCTGAAGGCACTGGACCCCACAGTCTTTCCAGATGGTGGGGGCCAAAGTGATAGAGTATGTAACTATCTATTCCAAAAATTGATCCAATGAACAGAAAGCACCCTTTGTGCATCATGTTTGGCTTAACCCAAGACCTGTGCATCACCCTTTGAGATTGAGACTGGCCTGCACTGAGGCCAGAGACAGATGCTATCTGACTGCCAAGTGGGCATGGCCTTGTATCTGATGACTGGCCTTCCTCCCTTCCTCAGGGTGAAGGAGCTGAGGCCCAGAAACCGAGGGGAACTGCTGCTTGGTTGCATCCCAATTGCATCATCATCTTCATCACCATCATCATCATATCATCATCATCATCATCATAACCATCACCATCATCAACACCATCATCCTCACCACTAGCCATCATCACCATCACCATCATCATCATCATCACCATCATCATCATCATCAGCATCACCATCACCACCATCAATCACCAACCACCAATCCCACCATCAATCATCAGTATCCTCATCATCATCACCACCACCACCATCACCATCATCATCATAATTATAATAATACTAGTAAAAATAATGGTAATGATCATAAATAATAATAACAACAACAGTAATAATAAGGATAATAAATTGAATGATAATAATAATCACTAATAATAATAAATATAAATATATATATATCATAATAATAATAATAGTAATAATGATAATAATCATCATCATAATCATCATCATCATTATCATCATTATCATCATAATCACCAGCATCAGCATCATCATCAGCATCATCATCAACCACCAATCATTAATCATCACTCATCAATATCATCATTCTCCTCCTCCTCCTCATCATCCCCATCATCCTCATCATCCTCATCATCCTCATCATCCTCCTCATCCTCATCCTCATCATCATCATCATCATCATGATCACCAATCATTAATCATCAGTCATCAATCATCAACCATCAATACCATCATCATCACCACCACCACCACCATCATCATTATCATCATCAGTGGTAGCCACCTGGCCTAGTGAAATGTATACAATTTGGGCTTCCGTTTTTTGGAGCAAGAAGTAGGACCCCAGGTAAATTCTATGGGCACCACCATCACCACCATCATAGTTACCAGTGTTAAAGCCCATTCACCAGGGGGTGGGCCAAAACTTTGAAGGGGCATGGTATCAGTGGAATTTCCTGAGGTTCATCCAGGGTTGCAAGGTTTGAAAGTTTGATATTTAAAAAAATAGGTGTGTGCATGGTCAACCTTCAGCAGCTGGTCACAGTCATTGGTCATTGGCATTCACAGTGCCCAGTGGCAACCATTGCCAGACTCAGGAGAGACAAGCTGCTGGAGGCCAAGAAGGCTTTTGAGCTGAGGAATGGTGGGGAGAACAGGCTCTCAGAGGTGAACCATGACTACTCCAACCTGGACACCTGGGGTGCAAACAGTTTGTGATCATGTGAGTGTGGCCTTTAAACATTGAATTGTTGTGAGTTGTTGCAGTGGGGGACTTCATCTAGCAGATAGACCCAGATAGACATGAGCAAACCTAGGACGAAGTTGCAATGAAGTATGGGTGGGATGATGTGTTCCATGGCAAGTACCCCAACCAGCAGGGAGCTGCAGTGCTTGGGGCTGCAAACAAAAAGGTTGATTTGAGCTGTTCACTGTTTGCTCACTTTGAAACTTTTGGTATGTGTTTGCCAGCTTAATGTTTGATCATAATGGGTTGAACTCAGGGTGGTGGTGCTGATCCAAGACCACAGCACTATGTAGAGATTTCCAAAGGAGGGGATTCATGGCTGTTCAGCAGGGAGGGAGCCTTGGCTGCAAGACTGCAGTGCCAAGGGCAGGGATTTTGTTCATGGTCAGTTTGTTTGTTTGTTTTGTCATCCATTGTTCATTCATGATGATGTGATGCCTAAGGAGGAAAGCCAAAGTACCTATTTCCCCATGGAGTCCCAGCAATCAAGGCTTATGACCAGGGAAGGCCAGGGGTTGACTTGAATCATTTTAATTACAACATTTGGTCTTTGAAATTTGTTTGCCATCATGAATTGAGCATCAGATGGCAGCTGCTGTGATGAGCCATGCCATGTCATGATGGGTCTTGCCCCCATTGGAGGCATATCATCAAAGGGCCTCCACCTACCCTTATGACCTTTGACTGCAAGCAGCTCTACCACTCAGATGACTACTACCAGGGCTGGGTCAGGCACCTTGCACCTTGACTTGAATTGTCACTGGGGTGGGCCTGAATGGGGGGAATGGCTAGTGACAAGGTATTATTATTGATTCCATGGAGCAAGTGTGGTTCAAGTCATTGGTTGGGGAGTATTATAATAGTATAGATCAAATAGTTCAATGTATAATAATATATACATATATACCATGTTATGAATTATTTGGTTCAAGTCATGGACATTTCATGTGTTCTGAGGTGGACTGTGCAAAGCAGCAGCCTGAGGCTGCCTGGGCACAGAAGCTGCTGGGACTGAAAGAGGTGCCAGAAGAGTTTGAACCACAAAGGAAGTTGCAAAGCAGCTTGGCCTCCTTCATGGGGGCTATGAACTCAGCCATTGGAGGCAGGATTGGGCTCATGGTGTCGTTGCACCCATGAATTCAGGGGGCAAGGCAATGGAGAAAGATCAGCACAAACTTTATTTTAAAAGGTGGCAATAACTGTTTCACTGAGTCACTGTGTGCTGCTGACATGTGTGCATTGCCCCCCACTGTTGCCCAGGTGCTGAGGCTGACAGTAAGCTTCCCTTGAAAGACTTGGTCAAGCAGAAGAAGCAGGAGCTGGAGGAGAAGGAGGCAGAGAAGCAGAAAAAGCAGCTAGAGGAACAGATGAGGCAGAAACTCAAAGACCAGATGGAAGCAGAGGAGCAGGAGGAAAGGAACAAGAAAGAGGCAGAGGAGAAAGCCAGACAGGATGCAGAAAGGAGGATGCAGAGCCAGGCCAAAATGGCTGAAGCAGGAGCAGCCATTGTAGAAGTTGAACAGAAGATGAAGATGGAGGAGGCCAGGTTGAAGCAAGAAGCAAAGGAAAGGATCCAGAAAGAGTTGGCCAAGATCAGGATGAAGGCAGAAGAGGACAAGCTGAGGCAGGAGGCAGAGGAGGAGAGGATGAAGAAGGAGAAGGAGGAAGCCAGCCTCAGGAAGGAGCTAGAGGAAAAGCTCAAGAAAGAGATAGAGGCAAAAGTGAGGATGGAAGCAGAAGAGAAGTTCAGGAAGGAGGCAGAAGAGAAGTTGAGGAAGGAGGCAGAAGAGAAGTTGAAGAAGGAGGCAGAAGAGAAGTGGAGGAAGGAGGCAGAAGAGAAGTTGAGGAAGGAGGCAGGAGAGAAGTTGAGGAAGGAGGCAGAAGAGAAGGTGAAGAAGGAGGCAGAAGAGAAGGTGAAGAAGGATGCAGAAGAGAAGTTGAAGAAGGAGGCAGACGAGAAGTTGAGGAAGGAGGCAGAAGAGAAGTTGAGGAAGGAGGCAGAAGAGAAGGTGAAGAAGGAGGCAGAAGAGAAGGTGAAGAAGGATGCAGAAGAGAAGTTGAAGCAGGAGGCAGAAGAGAAGTTGAAGAAGGAGGCAGAAGAGAAGTTGAAGAAGGATGCAGAAGAAAAGGTGAAGAAGGATGCAGAAGAGATGGTGAAGAAGGAGGCAGAAGAGAAGTTGAAGAAGGAGGCAGAAGAGAAGTTGATGAAGGATGCAGAAGAGAAGGTGAAGAAGGATGCAGAAGAGAAGTTGAAGAAGGAGGCAGAAGAGAAGTTGAAGAAGGATGCAGAAGAGAAGGTGAAGAAGGAGGCAGAAGAGAAGTTGAAGAAGGATGCAGAACAGAAGAAAGCAAAGACCCAAGAAACTGTGGCACAGATGTTTAGTACCTTGGATTGTAAGCTTGTGGGGTTGGTGTGGTGGGGCTGGGCAGTGGGTCCAGCAATTCTTGGGCCAGGCTACCACTCAACCCATGTCATGTTACCCCCCATCCCAGGCAATCAGAAGAAATGAGCCTGGCAGTGGAGTTGCTTGGCATCAGCTGCTGGTATTGCTGGTGGCCCTGGTGAAGGGCTGGGGCACATTTGCCAATTGTATGCTTCTTCATGGGTGGTAGCATCCATTGCCCAAGAATATGTAGAGTGCATGGCCAAACCACTTTGAAACCAATGGGGGCTGATTGCTATAGTATGGTAATAATTATAGGTCAAATAATTCAATCAGAATGATAGGGGTTCCTTAGGTAAATTGTAAGGATATTTGGCTCAAGTCCCACTTGAAACTTCAAAGGCTTTGGCTTTGAGCAGCTTGCCATGGTGGCTGCCACTCAGCTAGATTCATTTGATACACCAGCAGGTGAAGGGGTTGAGGCCCAAACTCCTATTAGCAGTGGTGTGGTGGAAGATGTGAAGGCCATGTCAATGTCATTGCCTTTGGATGATGAGAGCACAGTCACAGCTAGTGAGCAGCCACCATTGAAAAGATTGAGGCACTTGGACTTGGAGGTGGATAGGGATTGTTCAAGAGATAAGGTTCGATGGATCCCTGGTCCTGAGGGCCACTTGATACCCTTTGTCTTGAATAGTGATACCATGATTGTCCACAGTGGGTCATCCAGAATGGAGATCCACAAGGTGGGGGAGTACAAAGTGGTGCAGTGTCTTTCTGGCTGCTCAATTGATCTGAGTTGCCCAAGGCCTTGCCATTGTTTGTGCCATTTGCTCAGGGAATTCTACACAAACAGGGCTTTAGTTCATTACTGAACCACAATTCAGATGCCAACCAGGGCAGAGTTTGAGAGACTAGCAGGTTTGCCTTTGACTGCTGCAGACAGTGACAGAGTGGGCTGAAATGGATGGGTGGTGAGGGGACACAAATGGTAAGGTATGAGCTGAAGATTTGTTTCAGGCATACCCTTCTCTAAGATGGACCTGGAACCACCAAAGGCTATCTTTTTGGTTTTGGGTTCAGGTTCTGGTTGGAATCCATTATTTAAAGCTTCTGATTCCAAGATGGGCTTGGCACCACCCAGTAAAGCTGTGGATGGAATCCAGCATTTAAAGCTAGGGGGCCTTGGAACCACCAAATGTTGATCTTTGGGGTTTTAGAATGTGGGTGGAAATGGGAATCATTTGGGGTTCAGATCCATAATCTCAAGCTAGGTCAATGTACTTGGAGCCACCAGATGGGTTTGGTTGTTGGAAGCATCAATGGGTACCTGTTTATGAAGCATTTTCAAGACTT